GTCTTTTCAAATAGTAAAAGAGTTAGTTTTCAAAAAAAAAAGAGTGTATTTTTCAAATTTCCAAACATAAATAGGGTATTTTTCAAAAAACCCCATGTATAATATATCAAATTTACATTTATAAACGAGGCGATGAATTTTGTTTACAGTGATAATAACGATGAAAAAGAGTTATAATAGATAATATAACTACATGTATATGATCATTCTAATAATTTATGTTTCGTTTCTAACAATATCGAATGCTGATTTTATATATATATTATGTTCAATTGTTCAAATATATTTCATATTTCATGGAATGTCATATGTATACAAGACTTAGGTTCGATAGATTAGCCCCTATTCCGAGTGTTATATGTATAATAATTTTTGTTGTACGGTATTTTAAATGGATATAACATATTTGAATTTCAAACTTCTCAACATTCGAAAAGCAAACTTGGAGGTAACCTAATGGCAAATATCTCTGTTTTCAATACCAAATTGGTCAGCCCTTACCAAGAAGATATATGTAATGTCATCTGCAAGCAGCTCCAAACACAGGAATGTGTCGCCGCATGAAAATACCAAAAGCTATTCGGAAAGATACATACAATTTATACTAGAGAATCTTATCCAACTGGGACTAATGCCTTATTCATCTAAAGAAGCTCCAACATATGCCATTGAATCCGATAAATAACACACTGGTTTCTCCATAAACTATATACAATCTTCCGGGAAACATATACCCCTCATTTTCCTCCAAATCCAAAGCAGCAACACTGTCAATTTGCAGAAAGACAAAACAATGTTCAAAATGTAAGATGATTTCAGTGATTTTACTTGAAGAAAATGAGCTTTGAAGTATGTCTTACTTTGGAAGTGTTGGAAGGGTTACGGGGGCTTGTGTGAGTCGGCGTTCTCGAAGATCCACTCACATTTGCTCCAGAGCTCCTCTCTTCACGGACTTTATTGAAGATGTGTGTGTATCCATCAGCTGATGCCGGGTTATTCTCGTCCCAATCACCGAATTTCGGCACCACTGTCACTTTTTCAGGCTACAAAAACAGTTGAAAACTCAGATACTTAGATCGAAAGCAACACAACAGAGAGCTAGCTAGTGATGCAAACAAACAGACAGCTTCAAAGAAGATCAAATTCGACATTTATCCTCTAAACTCTTAGAGGTAGAAGTGAGGGATCTTACACTTTCGTCAGCTCTAATGCTGGGTTTGGGCTTGGATCTTCCAGTGCCATCATATGAATTCTTATGCAATGGCGACTTCTCGTAACTATTGTTCTGAGAAGCCCTTCCTTGTCTTCTGTTAGCAGCCTCATTTGATGAGCCACCAGCATCACCAAACTGCTTCAACTCGCTCTCATCACGGCTTCTCGTCTGCTCACGTGATCTTCTAACCGGGTCAACTTGGTCAGGTTTGGTTCTGGAATGAGGAGGAGGAGGAGCTTGAGATTGCGAATCCGAGTTATACTCAGGGTCGTTCGGGTTCATGATTCTGCCACCGGGTGCTCGAACCTTACGGGCTTTGTCAAAGTAAGCTGTGTAAGGAACATTTTCCTCACCTTCCCAGTTTCCAAATTTGGGAACATTAGAACGCTGTTGCAGCCAGGACAATCCAATCAGTTCAACAACAATGTCTTCCCACAAAACTTCCAATAGAAACAAAAAGGGTAAGAATCGGAATAACGACCCTAGCGAGCGAACAATCATCACAGGACAAAGATGGCAACAACACATGATTGAACTTCTTTGCAATTTCATTGTCTGTAAGAATCGAAACTCCAATTTTGATCGCTAATCAGAATATCAAATTTCATACAATTGGGAAGCTGATCCAAAAACTGAGCATAACCCTTTCTCTTATCTAGCAATCAGAATCATCAAGTTAAGTACTATAAATGGCAATCTCATGAAATGTTTCAGAGGAAAATCAGAAGGAAGAGTCACAAATGCAACAATCAGGAGACAGATAAGAATTGCTTTCTCCAAAGCTATCAAAAAAGGTTTCAGAGAGATTCAACAAAACAAAAGTAGAATCTGAAAGAGACAGAGAGCTCTAGACCTAAAGAAGAAGAAGAAAGAGAACACTTAAAGAAACTTACTGCCATGGGAGAATTCCAGAGAGATTGCGAAAGAGGTAAAACCTTGAGAGAAAGAGGGATGTGAGAAGGAGAAGAGACGAAAACGTTTATCAAACCGTTGACTAGTGATGCTTGTATTGTTTGACCCT